CCTGTGGCCCCATGGGCATCACCGTCCACTCTGATCCAGCAACGCCCCTTGAGCTTTTCAGTAATTCCACCGAAAGCAGCTCTTCCTTGCAGCCCCATGCCATCCCTGAGCCGGGCTGAGGAGGCTTCTCCCCTGGGGAAGGGGTTGACCACGTCTCTGCCCTCACCAAAATGACGTGGGGCCAGCAGCAGCCGGGCACAGGGAGGGACAAGGCACTGGGACGGTACCTGGAGGAAGGTCCTGTGGTCGGGGCAGGCCAGGAGACTCTGAGCCCTCTCCCTGTGCTGGCCAAGGACGTCCAGGTGGTCCTTCAGGAGGCTCCAGTCCTCCCCCACGCGCCCCAGCGCCGCTGCCTGCTCCTGCTCGATCCTGGCCACCGTCTGCCACTGGCAATCCTCCAGGGCTTTCCTCAGGAGGGTGAATTTGCTCAGAATCGCTGATTTGAGCCCCTCAGAAGACTCCTGGGTGGGGAAGAGCTGTGAGAGCCAGCACGCTCCCACCCGCTTCCCCAGCACGGAGGCGGCCGCGGTGTTACCTTGATGCTGCGCGTTTGCTCCTCCAGCTCCTGCATCTCCTGCTTGATTCTCTCCGATTCCTCCTGGGCTTTTTCCAGGGACTCTTCCAGCAGGGCCTGCGAAGGGAAGCACCAACACTCTGTGGCGCAGCACGCTGCCGCCCGCCCAGGCCCCGGGAGCCCTCTCAGGGCTGCAGGACGAGGCTACCAGGGAAGGAGAATCATAGAATCATCTGGAAACGTTGGAAAAGACCTCTAAGATCATTGAGTCCAACCATCCACCCAACAACACCATGCTTTCTAAACCATAGCCTGAAGGGCCACATCTACACATTTTTTGAACACCTCCAGGGATGGTGACTCAACCACCTCCCTGGGCAGCCTGGTGCAATGTCTGACCAGCCTTTCAGTAAAGAAATTTCTCCTGATATCTAATCCAAACTTCCCCTGATGCAACCTGAGGCCATTGCCTCTGGTCCTATTGCTGGTTACCTGGGAGAAGAGACCAAACCCCACCTCACTACACCCTCCTGTCAGGCAACGAGCTATAAGGTCCCCCCTCTCCAAAGTAAACAGCCCCAGTTCCCTCAGCTGCTCCTCCTAAGACTTGTTCTCCAGACCCCTCCCCAGCCTCGCTGCCCTTCTCTGGACAAGCTCCAGGAACTCAACATGTTGTAGTGAGGGGCCCAAAACTGAACACCAGGCTCGGGAAGGGGAGAGGCTGCGTCCAGGGGCACTGAGAAATGAAACCCTCTGCTCTTTTCACCCCTTTTTCAGCTGTTTCCTTTAGATGGGGTCACAAACACACACGGCACCGTTCACCCCATGCTGCTGGACTCACCCAGCTCTCTGCTGCTCCCGACAGCCCCTGGTTTCTCAGGGAGCAGCTGGGCGCTGGTGGCATCTCCCTGGCCAGAGCCCGTGCCAGCGCCCTGCTCAGCCGAGGCCGGGCACCGCTCCGCACGCGGAGGGACGTCACGTCCCCACAGCAGGGAACGGGACAGCGGGGCTGGATGCTGTGCCCCACCCCAGCCGCCGCGACTCCCCCTGCTCACCCCTCCGTCCCCGCCGTCCGTGGGTCCCCTCGCACCTCTCCGTGCCCAAGCCCCGCGCCTCGGCGTCCCGCGCCAGCTCCACCACGCTGCACAGGGTGACGTTCTTCTCCAGCTCCGGGCGCCGGTCGAAGCCCCTGCGGCACTCGGGGCACGTGTAGCCCCTCTCAGCCCCGGCCGGCGCCTGCTCTTGCTTGTGCCAGTGGTTGCTGATGCAGTGCTTGCAGAAGTTGTGCCCACAGGGCAAGGTCACGGGGACCCTGAACAGCTCCAGGCAGATGGAGCACACCAGCTTCTCCTCCAGCTTCTGCGAGATGGGCGATGCCATCCTGCCCTGCGCCGGGGATCGGGGAAAGAAGCTGGCGAAAGAAGTCGGGGAAATAGAAACTCAGCGGTGCAGAGGAGGAAGAGATGGTGACGCTGAGCCCAGAGGCGGGTCAGGGCTCCGAGCCAGGCTTGCTCTTAAAGTGACACCCAGTGGGTGCCCCCTCGGCCGCGCTGGCTGTGCCACGCGCCGGGGAGACGATGGGGAGGGTCAGAGCTGCTGCCCCTGGGGAGAGGGAGGGCTGCGCAGCACGGCTGGAGGCCCCGGGGAGGACCAAACGCTGCAGTGACAGCACAGGGAGACGCACGCGAGAGGCTGACGAGGTTCGGAGCAACGTGCGTTTCCCCAAAGGCGTGTGCACGGGCACACACACGACGTGCAATTCCATTTCACTCCTTTTTTGCCCTTTGAGGGAACTTCCCGGCATCCTCGCCTCTGCCAGAGCTGGGTCCCCGAGCAGAGCGTGGCCGTTCTCCCCGGCAGAGACCTCAGCACAGCGCTGCTGGCATCTGCCACCCTGGGAATCTGCGGAGAGGGGCACCCACAGCTGCTGCAGCCACTTGTCACCCCCTCTGCAGCGACAAGGGCTGTGACACACGCCAGCAGCCGGCCAGGGCCACATCCCACCCTTGCATCTTGCCATTTTAAACCACAGCTCCCGCTGCCTGCACATGGCCTCGTGCACACCCACCACTGCTTTTCCTACGAAGTTCCTCGCAGCGCCCGCGCACATCAGCGCTCCAAAACGCAAGACGTCATCCGGGCAGGTGGAGTCTTCTGCCCGGAGGAGACAGCGGTGCCTGTGCACGGCTTACCTTCGCCTTGCCTTCAAACAGCTCTGTTTCAGGAGAAAAAGCTGCCAACCTTCCAGTCCAAACCTTATCTCCTCACCCTCACAGACGCGCTGTCGCTGGCACACGCTCCCAGGCAGCTGCCCAGGATGGCCGCGGTTTGCAGCGGTTCTGCAGCCTCCCCACGCCGTACGGCTTCGCTTTCACCCACACAGGCCAGGCCGAGCAGCCAGGAGGGCCGTGCGGCCGGCGGGGAGGCCGCCC